TAATAATAATAATGAGAGGTTGACAGGTGCGATGAAAGCGAGATCATCAATCAAATGCGACGAGGTGCGAGGGAAGATCTTCTGTGGAATGCGTAAGCATTGCTCACTACTTACGTACCGATGCACAACGCAGGACTGTCGATATGGATGTACCTTGGTTTTAATGAGGTAGCCGTAACAAAGCTAAGGAGGGCCTTCATGGTTTTGGGGTCACTTTCGCCTATGGAGCATTAGTTTCCATTGAAATACGACGTGGGATGTTCAACAATATATTAGGCGTTGGCTCATTATTTCCAAAAATGTCAGAACCGATATCAAAGAGCAAAGACAAGCATCTATAGTTATATTCAGTCGATAACCGCTGTACAGACAGATAAAATATCTAGTAGCACCCACGCAAGTTTGACTTGATCAAGGTTCTTCAAGTCGATTTGCCCTGATAGCCCATGGTAAAGACGTTCATCTGCTCAAGCCATATCATCTTCAGCTGCAAGCCTGCACTTCGAGCCAACTTCGAGCGATGCATATTCTAAAAAAAAACCTAATTTGCTGTAAATTAAAGAAAATGTATGGATACCTTGATATAAATCTGATTAACATTGCCAATTACGATGGATACAAGCTGCGAGGACTTGAGTCTCCGTTTACGATTTTACGAAGCCCCAAATGGAGCTTTGGTTACCGCCGCTTGTCGGCCATACCCAAACCATCCTAACTTACCTGTTGATAGTTGCTCGGTTCACTATACTTATCATAATATAGGACTCACAAATTTGAAATACCGTTTAACAAATGCGGTGAGTATGGATGCCTGTGAACCGCTTACTAAGCGATACGTTATTAGACAGGTTGTGCAAGAGCCACAGCGCCACGGCATGGCTATTTTTTGTTGTGCAGCTGTGGCTCCACTGTGGCTCCAACGCGCCATTTCCCAATTTTACGGTGGCTACTCATTGGGACATGGCGCGTTGGAGCCACAGCTACACAACAGAAAATAGCCACGCCGTGGCGCTGTGGCTCTTGCACAACCTGTCTATTTGCTTCCTCGTCAACGTTGTCCAACGGACCAACACTGTCCACTGGATGCTTTTGAATCCTATATGTGGGCAATATCTTCAGGAACCATCCTAAATGGTGTATTGTCCCTTATTCATCTGCGGCGCACGGTCATCGTCCTATCCAGGTACGCACCTACCGCCGCCCTACCTCTTCGAGGTGATTAACGTTGAGTAACTTTAGGTACAGATCTAGAAACTTTCTCTTTAAATCTTTCAGTGTATTGTCATCGAGCTTGTCCCTGGAACGTCTCGTAATCGTACGTCCTTTTCCTGTTTGTTGACCATGTATTGCGTAATAATCGGCTGTCTTCGTAGGATGCAAGTCTTTCGAGAAGGCTCTAAGTAGTCCGCTATTGAAGGACGTCAATGTCGATCATCCGTGCTACGTTGGATCGGGATACTTTACGGCGTTAGGTACGTAGCAAGCACTTCTAGTTTTGGGGCATGGGCTAACTCTGCTGCGCAATATTATCAGTACCACAGCTGCAGCAGAACAAGGGTTACGAGATACTCTATCGCATCATCTCGTTCAACCGACTACTGGAAGGAACCTATGTTGCAAGACATGCACCATGGCTTCATCTGCTGTACAGTCTCCGTCGCGGATCCACATGCTGCAGAAATCCTTCTGACATCACTGTCGCTGTCATTGTCTCTCTCCAGTACCCTTCGTACGTTCTTTTATCCTTGTATGGCATCCGCTCGACGGCTGATTCTTTGTATAGGATCCCGCTTGTGCTCCAGTAACATTGCTCCTATCTGCACTTCGCCGATCATCATATGTTCCGAGCTTGACAGATTTTGCTCAGAGTGACCGCAGAAACTCCAAGGACCACGATCTACCACACTCAGGATCATTCATACACGTAGAGTGCGAGGTACATCCTAACTTCAAGTTACCGTTGTGGCGCATGTTCTGACGCTTCGTCAGTACCAGGTACACCTAGTGAAGACATTCTACGTGCTCGACGGAAGGACACATGGCATCACTCTGTATTCGAATCCGGTCTCCTACCACCTCGCCGCTGCCGGAGCATCTCCTTGCATATATGAACCTGTCACTAGGTTGCTGACTGGAGTACTACATGCCCATGCCGTCCGCCTGCCGACGTACACAGACATACGACACGTCTCCAATCACCACAGTTTATGACTGACTGACTTCTATACGATGTTTAGCACGTCTCGAGGCTAAACCGACGCCGTAGGAAGTCTACGTAGGAAGTCTATGCAGTTGTGGACCGAGCACGTCCAGGGCCATAACGCCGAGTTGGGAATCATCTGTCATATTCCACCGGTTGCATCTCTCGTATATAGTTCCCATTAATATCAGGATAGGGGTCTGGGAATTCGTTGGTGGCTTTGGCTATGCATGGAAGTTGTGCGTACCTTTCTCATTTAAACATCTATCAGACCTCTCATATCTTTGATTCCTACGGTTTGCGAATTCATATCAGGTTGCGCGCGAGTGGTTGCTTATGCTCGATATACTTTCGTGGCGATTGTTTCCTTGGGTTTCGGGACACCATTTATTGGTCTTCGTTGGCGAATTAGATTCGTAAGCTATGATCTAGATGGACAAAGACTTGGACAGTTTCGTGTATTTTTGAATGGAATACCCGTTAAATAACTTAATGGTCAAGTTCGGATTCGGGTTTAGCAGTGGCGAAGCCATTAATTGATTTCAGTTCCGTGCAAATTTTGGGCTCATGATCTAACTAAGACTAGACATGGTAATATTATCAATACGAAGATACACGTACCACAACGACTCGAGGTACGTACTAACTTGAAGCTGCCTTCCGACCCACGATACTTATCGACTGAAGAACATATGTCATTATCATCGTCCCAAATTAGAATCCAGTCTGATGTCAATGCCGCTCCTTACTGCTGGCTGCGTCGTTGTGTCGTCTGTACACAATGGAGAAAACGATACACCATGATCCGCCGGATTTTTTATTGACAACAGCCACCGCCACCGCCACCGCCACCGCCACCTAACACCTCTCTCTACCTCTTGCTGCATCCATAACCTTGTTAGTACATCCGCATTCTTTATTAAAAAGTCTCAAGCAACTTCATTCGCAGGCGATCATAACTACTTCAAGCTCTTCCCAACATGTTCGTTGAGGTTATGGTAGCCTTTGGCTCAACTCTGGATTTTGTACGGACCTTTTTACAAGTGTCGGTTTTACGCTTATCCCTCTGCAGTCCTCAATATCCCCTTAGCGTGGCTCCTGCTGCTCGGATATGGGTTCATAATCGTTATTCTGTGCATCATCTCACAGGTTTTATACCACTTAGTCGACAAGATAGTTCACGGCGGACCTTGTAGGTGAGTTATACAATGACTTGGCGGCGAAAAAGAAGACTTGGATCGGTTTCAAATAGTTTGAATCGAATTTACCAGTACTAGAACACATAAGTAATGTCACACAGTCGATGTTATCCTGAATTTTCTTCGCAAAATTTGAGTATTCTCTATTTGGATTTAGCAAGGATGTCAGCTTAGATCTAGAGTATCATCTTGAGCTGTGTGTTCTAGGAAGGCTGTACACAGTTCTATGCACTTTCAGAGACCAAAGGATAGACGAGCAGAGAATAACTCTTAGGTAGTATAGTGGTTAGTATTCGCACCTGTCAGGACGAAACGCAGTCCCTTCTGCGACCAATACGACCATCGGATTAACTTCAAAAAGGTATAGGCTTTTAGTATATGGGGCAATTGAACCCGGCTTCGAGCTGTTGTCGATTTCTTTGTTCAGGCGGGCAAATTTCAGTGGCTTTGAATCTCCTGTATCTTCCTCAGGGAATTCTCCGTCCGAAGACTCGAATTTAGTGCATTTAGATGGCATCTGAGTCTCCTGTGTGAATATATCCCCAGTTACTTGGAGCAACAGACGGAAACGATGGATGACGCGTATTGGATCAGCCCCTTTGTTCATTTTTTTGGACATCGAGATTCGAGATTGAAAATTTGAAATGGAGATCGAGTTACCATGCTATTACATATAGTTACAGATCATCGTATTATGATAAGAATGAAATAAAATACCGGTGTATCGTGTAGATTGATTGTACTTACTTGTTGGGGGTAGAAGTGCGTTTGCTGGACCAACGCGGAAGCAATGCCTAACATGACAATTCGGAGTACCGGGCCACCATCCGCATCGTTCAATTATAACGTTGATCTCCTTCTGCTTTCTTTTTTTCTCGATCGCCTAGAAGATAGAAAATCTGAGAAAATCTTCTTTTTCTTTTTTCCTTCGTCAAAGCCGTCCGCGTCCCATCTCAATTCTCGATGAATCTAAAATCATCGTGGAACATCCAAACTCTGTTCGCCCACAAATTGTTTCCCAAGAATCAAATGGAGCAATCCCTCTGAAAACACTCAATGATATCACTGACGCTACTACTTACTTTTCGTAATAAGTAGGCCAAACCCAACCAGCAATCTCCGGCCCAGAGACCAATGCATTGCCACCGTAATAATTCTTCGGTAGTATAGTGGTTAGTATTCGCGCCTGTCATGAGTTTGACTCTAGATCGCGCGAGACCCGGGTTCAATTCCCGGCCGGAGAGCTTTTTTTGAACTTTTATTATTCCTTCTTTATTTTGCTTTGACGATCTAGGCTTGTCGAGAGAAATCCCTGTAATTTGGAGATTCTTATAGTCCACTGACTCCTCTGAGATAAGAACCATCACGCTAATGATTTTCCAAACCTCTCTCTTTTTCGACTAAGTACTATTTACGGTCCAAGCATTCATTTAACTCCAGATGTCTGGTCATCTTCACGTTCGTAACCGACAATGATAGATGAACACCACATACAAATCTCGTTAGACACTGACAGCCTTCAAGTTCGTTGATTGAAAATATTTCTTATTTCATTCGCATGAATGCTTCCCTGCATCCTGCCTCCCTTCATCTCTCTATCATCATAGGTAGTATAGTGGTTAGTATTTGTGCCTGTCGTCGAGAGTTAAACACTAGGTTGCGCGAGACAGGAGTTTAATTCCCCGTCTGAGAGATCTTTTCGCTCGTTCTTGTTTGGTTTTTGGTCTTCAGAAGCTCATACTAGAAAGCGCCCGAGTCTGAGTCCTACTAACGGCTTGGTCATTTATCCATCATATTCTCGGATATCCTATTCGCATTTAGTAATGTCGAGGACCTGTCTGAATCTCCGATGAATCAGTAAGTGTTTTTCTTTGTGCTTGCAGATGCATTCTGAGCAGAATATCGATATCTAGTTGCTCGCGTCGCTATTTTCCAAAAGGCTTGCCCGGATTACAACAACAACAGCCTGGGATTTATTGAGATGATTTGCTATACAGCATACTACGCCACCGGACTGATTTATAATTATTCGCAGCTATTCCAGTGGGTGCAGCAAGTTGAACAAGTGTCCGATATTGTGCGGAATGCCTCTGTTAGAGTTTGGAAGGGAAGTTCATCTCTTTAATCGAATATACAGGAATACAAGACAGTGTTTCGCATTTTTAGGCTACTACTAACTACTAGAGTCCGTAGTAAAAAGGAAGAGAAAGAAACATGCAAGATACAAGTTTCAAGGCGAAGAGCGAATACGAGTCAATGGAATACATAAAAGCGAGACAAGGAATACTGATAACAAGGTAGAACAGAATACCGAAACATCACGACTCGGTTGTCCAAGGTCTCCATGAGTCGGTTACATCAGGAAAGTTGGCAACGGCGTCTAAAAGTTCCCTAGCAAGCGTCTGACCTACGAACAGCTAGCAATCTTCTAGGCAATAACGAGCTACTAGAGTCATCTATTCTCAACTCGCTACTGCACCAAAATGAACTCGGCTGGTTTGAACAATTATCAGCGTCAGTCTGACACCTATGACTTAGCACCGCACCTCCTTGTCTATCCTGCCCGACGCTTGTTCCTTTCAATCTTCATCATCAGCCTTGGTAATTCACAATCTCTCGAACCTAGTGACTGAGATGGGCTTCACTGAATTTGAACATTTTTTGGTTATTGTTCGCTATTGCCACTGGGCAGTATGTTGCCTGGTCAGACGTCTAAGATGGTGAGTTCTTCGACTGCAGTCTCTACCCAATGCTGCTTGACACTTCCGTTAGAATTGGGAGACGAAAATACGAAACCTTTAGTACTTCAAACGTACATTCCGCGAACCGCTGATGTTGAAGAGTAGCGAAGGATTCGGATGTGACAATGCACCTTCGAACACGGTAGATAGACTCAGGTTTGTATTTCAGCAAATTCACGATAGCTTACCGAATGACTCTTTTTCAGATTATTATCATACGCCTGAGGACGCAAAGGCGATTAAAAACAGGCTTTCTCGGTAAGTCAGCATTTTGGTTATAACCTGCTTTCTATTCCATCACTAACGATTTGTATGTTGCCTGTGTTTGTGAGGAACAGTTATTTTTCTTCCAGATACTAGTAGGTTGTGAGGCCCGCTTTGCAGAGTTCCTGCCGAATCCTAGGTAGTAGCACATGTTACTCTCATTCTGCATTCTGTACATTACCCTTCCATTGCCGTTCTTGTATCTATTATCTAGCTAGAGAACACATGGATCATATAGGAATTCAGTCCTCACATTGTTTGATTATAAGCAAGCGCAATGTGAAAAACAAATATTCCAAATACAAATTAGTGAAGCTACAGACGGGTATTCTTTCTATGATAGTCCTCCATAGCGAGCATCCAGGTAGCATAGCGAAGGGCTTCGGAAATTCTGCGTAACGTATGGAAGGTAGCATAGTGTACATAATTTAGAAATGCTACATATGCTACAGACGGTATATAGGCTATATAGCAGTTGCCAACTTTCCTGATGTAGTTGGGTGTACAGTGGTGTCTTAAAGTTCTTTCTTGATAGAGGTCTGATCCTTTTTATATTTAGGCAGTCAACCGCAGTTTCTGTTGCTGTCCTCAAAAGAAAAAGAAAAAAAATAGCTTCTCTACTCTTCAGTTTCTAAACTTGATCAGTAATAATTTTCAGCTTCAAAGTGAGTATGCGCGCCTCACTCAGACCTAGCTTGCTTCCGAAGCGACTTTGGTGTCTTATTCTGTGCCTTTGTTACGGTGGGCTCTCTAAAGTCTCAATGATGGACGCACACTTTTCGGCCCCCCGAGTAGTTTTTCTCATCCTCAGTGATGTTGAAGGGTGTGCCATTAGTTAGTCTTCTCAGGGACAATGGAGCCTCCGGGTGTTATGACCAGCTCGAAAATTTGCTAGATGTTTTATTCTATTCTATTCTATATTTATTTTATTTCGCATATAACAAAGGGTTGAATGCTTGTGATCTTTGTTTTAGTGGAGTTTCTGGGCCGTTTCTGTCAATGCTTCAGGCCTAGTGCGGTGTATTCGACGGTTGCGGTTGGACAGGAAGAGGTGTCTTAAAGTTCTTTTTTGATACAAGTCTGATCTCTTCTACTTATATCTAGGCAGTTGATAAAATGTAGCCAACACATAATCAAGGTCCCTCTGTATTCTTTCAGAGTGCTGCCAGTTGAATCGTTCATCAGGAAACCGTGCAACTGTACATAAACTATATAGTGCTATATAACTTGTGTAGCTCTCCGTAGCATCAGACGCTCCCGCTACGAATGCTATACAAGCTATGTAGCGCTATATAGTTTATGTGCACTTGTCAGGTTTCCTGATGTTGGGTGTACATACGTATATACTTTTGAATTGTCATGAGTTTATTATAATCCTTTGCAAGGGATTTGCTTCGAAGTAGTTAGTGTAGGATGGTTACAATGAATGCATACTTTTTCATTGTTGAATTGGGTCTGGTTGTCCAGAAATCATGCTTTATTGACACATTGTAAGTTACTCGCATAACGAAATACCTCT